CTAATTCATTTAAGGCAGTTTTAATTTTTATCTGTAGGAAAGTATGCTGCGCCCCCCTTCAAGCCCTTCGCCCCCCCCCCGGGGGTCGCGCCCCACAGTTTGAGAACCACTGCTCTACAGCGTTGAAGTTATATATGTATATTTATATCACAACAGCCATGAACCAGTAGATTCCACTGCACTAAATTACACCACTGTTACCATCCCAACAATTACGCAGTTATTATGTTAATCACCATGTCTTGGTCTACTAATACATTACACTTACACTGTTCCAGACTTAGAAGACGTGCTGAAACACACATGCCAGCTTTCATTATCACAAGAATAATAACAGAATTCAGTGTCGAATTCTCTTTCCTGTAGCAAGGCCCACAGGTGGCACAAACACACGCATTTAACTTCAAATCATACTGTTACCGGTCCGAGGACAACATGCAGAATGCAAAGCGACTGCTCAAGACGCTCAAGAAGTGCACCAGCGCTTACTGACGCGTACCTCCGTGTCCTCATGCGACTGAATTACACAATACATCTGTAAGTCACAGAGAAATACAATGGGGGCGCTTCGAGGAAATGGCCTTCCGCATGTGAAAGTGACGTAACATGTCATCAGTACGTTCCAGTTACTACTGACTAGATCGGTGCAATTCTAGGGCTGACATCCCGACGGGCTCCAGTGACGATAAGCCCAGTGGCATCATTACGACAGCACGGCACTGTTATGCGTTTCAGTGAAAATCGTACAAAATACGTGTATGCTGTAATATTTTGTGAACACTATTCTTTTAACAGCCGGTCACGGTAGCCGAGCGGCCTAAGGCATGTACTGTCTTCGTTCGCTTGGAAACGGGGATCGTGGGTTCGAATCCCACTCAGGGCATGGATGTTTAGTTTGTGTGTGCGCGTTTTTCTGTGTTTGTGTACAGGTAGAGGCCTTGCGACGAGCTGATCACCCGCCCAAGGAGTCCTTCCGAATGTGTAAGATCTAGAAAACCCGAAGTGAACGGAGAAGTTCATGGAGGGAGGCCTAGGCCCACTGGGGCTGTAGTGCCAGGGGGGAAAAAAATCACAGGCCGAGCGATCTAAGGTACGAAATATCTTTGCCCGCCCAAACAATGGGATAATACGTAGGTTCCAATCCAACTTGAGACATGAAAGTCTGCCCACGTGTCTTCTGTATTTATATTGTAACGTGTTTGCAATCCAGAAGAGTCACTTCTATGGAAACGCTAGAACAGACCGTTGCATAGGAAGTAACAATAGCGGCACTGTAATCCCAACATTGAGCCGTTGTGTCGAGAACATCGAATCTCCACGGTTACGACGAATACGCTAAGCGTTCTCACAGAGACAACGCAATAACAATGAGTCATTGCGTAGGAATCGCGGAACCAACAAAGCAACGCTTCCACTGCTATAACAGAGGGTTCATTTGCCTAGCAACGGCCGAGGGGATAAATAGCCCAGCTTCGACTAGAAGCAGTCAGTCTTCGTCCGGCCGTCTAAGAAGTGAGTCTTGGAATATCCGCCGCAGAAGAGAGTTGAAGTGTTACAGCGAATAGTAGTTGTGCTCGTGGTTGTAGAAGGAAAGTGTCCAATAAAGGTTCTACAGAATTTGAGACCTACGTGAATTTATTTGTAGCGTGACACACAAAACACGCTACAATATTGTTCCGCGTAGAGTTTTTTTTACCCCTTCTTGGGGTGGGGTGAGACTGAGTCCATTTGGTACGTCGGCCACTGTTTGGACTATTGTACTAGCCTCTGATGATAGATGATGAGTGTGAAGCAGTCGCTGGAATGAGAATTGGCAGGGGTAACCGGAGTACTCGGAGAAAACCTGACTCAGGGCCACTTTGTCCACCACAAATTCCACATAACTTACCCTGGGCTTGAACTGGGGCCGCCGCGATGGAAAGCCGGCGACTAACCGCCTGAGCTATGGCACGGCTCTGTTGTCCTCTGTTTAAGTAGCGACCTTGTGACAGGGCTGATTACCCGTCATAGAAGTCCTACCGACTGTTTCTAAGTTTCATATTTTCAGATTATTTGTGACGGGGAAACAGGCCAGAGCGCCTAACATGAAATGTAGAAAAGGAAGATTTAAATTATAAATATCCGTGATTTAAATTTATTTCATAGTTACAATGGCTGTAAATAAAATAAAACAGGAGTATCGCTGCAGTACGCGCGACCTGAAGCTGCATTTCTGAAGGAATGCACGGGCCCAGGGTGTCCGTTACCACCGACGTCCGCTACAAGCGAGTGAAGCAGTATTCTGGGAAGTATGCCACAGGACAGCCAGTACACGCAATAAGCACAGAAACACACAGTGAGATTACACCCATGTTTTCATACTGGGGGGTCTTTTTATATTAATTATTTTCCTAACTACAAAACGTTTCTTAGTGTCTCAACATTTCTAAAAATTCACTATTGTTCATAGCCTGACTGAATCCGTTACGGAGAGGCTCTGTTGTATCAAGAGTGCATAGCATCAGCAAAGTAGAATGATGCATGTTGTATCTGGAAGCATGCAGTCCTGGCCTAATGGCGGTTCTCTCCGAACGTTTGCCTGAACGGACTGAGTAAAACTGCGAAAGATGTCGGTCAGGAAAGCCTGTGCTCCGGCTGGGACTTTAAGCAATCACCTCCCACAAGTAAGTCTAAAATGTTACCTCTGAGCCAACTTTCTCGGTAGGTAAATGTAACAAGATAAAGTTGTTCCTGCACCTAATTAATTAAACAACACGCCTTGCGCACGTATGGGGGAGTGGAGGTATAGATCCACTATTCTTGACCACGGCATTCGGTGGGGGTAAATGGTCAGCTTCACGCCCCGACCGCTTTACCCTTGGGGAAAGAGCCCCTTGTATCAATTGAATAGGAAGCTGGTTGAACCCCAGAACCGGGCTGGGCTATGTTGAGAAGAGAAAAATATCTTGCCCCTACCAGGACCTACCCTACCGCGATCGTCCAGCCCATAGCCAGTCGCTATAACGACGATAACGACTGAGCTATACCAGCTCCTAACCTGTTCGGCGGGACACTCTTAAATACACGTATGTCTTTGCTCAAATATACGTTCAAGTAGAGTAAATCGTAAAGCGTGTAAAGGTAAGGATTTGATGATATTAATGACTACCTCAGAACGATATGAGACAAATTTATATTTGTATTAGAATACTGAAACTGTTCAACCAATTTTATTTTTATTGCAGAGGATATGATCAATGCGTTGTCAGGCAACAGATGTGTAAACACGGTCCAACACTCAACAATAGATGAGGCTGTGTTTTCTATGTCTTCCGCACCTAGTAGAGGTGGAACAACGGGGTTATGCAACCTGTTTCTGAGCAACGGCTCAGTAAACACACTTCCGCGTAAGCGGTGACGTCAACAACAATAGAGACGGTGTTTTCCATGGAGTCTGTACAGAGTCCTTATAAGAGAAGTGAATGAAGTAACAGCATTAGTTCAGGGGCAGTTGCAAATCAGCCGTAAGCTGGAGCAGTGAGCCCAGAAGAATTCTTATTTCCGAGGTTCCAGAGTGATTGATGAAGAAATAGCAAGAAGATTTCATAATTATTTGAAGTGCTAATTTCTGTGTTGAGATCCGTTGCTATGTGACGACTATTGGAAACTGAGAATCCTAGTGCGTGTGCAACGGCGAAATGTAATTTTGTAAATCAGCGATAGCGCTGTATTAATTGTAATTAAGGGGGAGGGTGTAACGGAAGTGCTAATAAATCCAGTCATCCGAAATAGAACCCGTTACTTTCGTCATGCGTAACACCTACACGTGACAGTATGTATTATGAACAATTAATTTATTGGTAACAAAGCTTATTTGTGAAGTAAACCGGGAAATTAAAGCAGAAAGTGAAGGAACTTAGTCCAATTAACCACCTCCGTTTTCGCAATAGTAACTAGCCGTAGGCTTTCAAAACCCGAAGCTTGTGCAGTGACTACTAAAAGAATGTTAAAACACAGGCTACGGCAGATACCACTGGAGTGCATGTACTGTTTGTACAATATATGGTGAACTGTAATACGTGTTTTAAACACCATGCAGATCTATAATTACAGTTTTGTCACGTGTATTAGTGACTATGCACGGGGTTCGGATTGGTAATTGGATTTACTAACCACTTACATGTCAATACAAATAAATATTACACTATTCCTGTTTTACTAACTCGAAATCAATCCACACTAATCTTCTCAGACTATTTCCACTAGTCTTCAATATCCGTTTCCTGGCAGCGGATTTATAACACGAGAACTGTACAAGTCTCACTAAATTACATACTCCTAATCCCACTACATTATAACAATGAAATGAAATGAAATGAAATGAAAGAATGAAAGACCTTAAACATAATAACAAACATAAAGTCTTCAATTTACACGGCAAGTCTTCTCAAGACTTCTTGTACTCTTCTGTACTACTGCCACTTACTGTTTCAGCTTCGGAATTCTGCTCACTTATACAGACGCGGCACACAAAAACACATATCACGTGATTGCTACTCACTGTTGTGTGACGTCACCGCACACTAGCAAGCTGCGCGCGCTTTGCATAGCAACGATCAGTGCGCGGACACAAAACACTGCTCCAGTACTGGTGGCCATGTGTGTTTCGGGCGTTGCCTAGCAGTGAGTCATAGTATGTAAGTTACGCGTGTGTGCGTGCGTGTTTGTGTGTGTGGGGTGTCTAGATCACCTGGGCTGTGTATAAGCCTCTGGTTATATGTGGGCGTTGCGTTCCACAAAATAGCCGCATATATCGAAAACGCATTAAACGAGAATTTGTGCTGAACGAAAAAGGATCACGATGGAGCAGCCGCAATCCGTAACTGCGCGCGCAACTCACTGGACATGCACGGCAGCTTATATCGCGGCTACGGCCGATACATCGATGTTCCTTACGGTACTGAAATATAACAGCGAATACGCGCGTAAACAAAGCGCGTATAATGAGTAACGTCAAATACAAGATTTTAGTCATAAGTTGACCGAATAAACCTGCAGATGTTTCTTATTTCTGTCAACACTCACAACACTCTACCAGTAGCAGCATAACGTAAACAGCTGAGTGCTCTAGCAGTGCTGCTAAATGATTCATTGAACGAAATAAGGGTCAGGTCCAAATACCCCTCTCCATCAAGATTAATCACCTCTCTGAAGTCTCTGAATGTCAGTAACATGAAACACTTATTTGCTCAGTCACCGCTTATCTACATGCACCCAGATCTCATTCGAGAATATCTCAAGCCGGATACACGCTTGCTCATTCTTTCGTAATGTGTACGGTGCCACAGAACATTTCGCTATAGTTCTGTTCGCGGCGCGTTCCGTACATGTTACTGTCAGTTTCCCAGCGAGCATTATAACATGTTACATTACACCATTAAAGCAGGTGTACGTGTTTGCGCTCGCGCTCGCCAGCCGAAAACCATTCCTCATCTGGTTGTGGTTATTTGTCCACAATATTTTTCATATCTCATTTCTCTGCGTACTGTAATTTTCAAAGGAGTGGAATAAGGGATTCACGTTAGCATTGATAGAACTGTACAAAGCTAAGCCTCTGCTCTGGGTCCAACACTTCCCTCAAGTATTACAATAAACACACTAAAAAAAAGACGATTTGAAAGAATTAGAGAAGACTGCGTGCACGTGAAACAATCTGACTGATTGCTTGCTTCGAAATTTTGAAAAGTTTTGGAACCTCGCATAACGAGCAAAACAAATTGTAAAGAAATGACTCGCTTAACGAGCGACGTTTCTCATAACGAGTGACGAGAGGGGAAGTCCCGGATTGTGCACTTGCTACATCAGTCTGTGTTTAGCACTCGTTCCGCTAGCATCTTAGTGTCGCTTGTGATCACACATTTTTCCAAACTTGTGTTCAGACATATTATTTGTGATTTTTTCGTGCAAAGTTTAATAACCCTTGCAAAAATGTCCCCGAGGAAAAAGCAGCAAAAGACAGCCGTAAGAGAATAAAAATAACTGTAGAAATGAAACGTAAAATCATTGAAAAGCGAGAACGAGGTGTGAGCGTGGCTGATCTAGCGCGCACATACACTCGGTCTACATAAACGATATGCACGATTTGGAGTTGCATTGTGTTTCACAGCAAGAAGTTGTGGAGGAGAGTTTGTCAGAGGAGGAGGAGGAGGTAACAGCAAAGCAACAATCTTCTGGCGCAATAAGACAAATGCTGAAAGCATGG